GAAAATAGGAAGAACTGAAAGCTCATGGGTTTGTGATGATCTGGGGATCTGTGAGCAGAGCACGTCCACCTAAAATAATGAAAAGTAAGTCAACACCAAATTAAAATCAAGAAACTTGCCTTGAAGGTCGGAAACAAATGCCTGGCCACCTGTTTCTATGAACTGGACATGCTGTGCAAAAGAAAGAAACTCGGCACGAATAGAACGCTCCTCGTCCTTGAATCTGTAGGGTTTTGCTGAGTTATTATTTAGATACTTGACGAACCAGCCGGGGGCTTCGGAATCAATGAATTCTTCGAGAAGATAGGCATTCTGCCTGCCTTCTGCATCGTTGGAGATGGCGAGACCAGCCTGGACATATCGCATTTGTGGAACCTCAAATGCCGGCAATCCACGAACAGTCACCTCTTTCTCCATGAACTTATAAACGAGATCCATCAGAGCGGAAGCCCACCCCAGGCAATTCAGCTCGACACTTAGGTTCGCCGCCTGGACCTGACTTTGGTAAATGACAGGTTTCTTGGAATTCTCTGAAGTAGAGAACGTCTGCTTGGTGCAAACTCGTGTGGAGTTGCCAAACAGCGGAATGTCAGTATGGCCAAAATGAGCGATTTTGAACGCGCCCTGGAGTGGTTTCGATGATGGCGGATACGAAAATTTCATTTGACGAGGTGGGAATTTCTCCGGATGAAGGAGAAACTCTGGTTTCTGCACCAACTCCGCGAAAGATGGGCGTGACGGTGGTCGAAGAAATTGCGCAGTAATCGTAATAATTTCAACTAAAAAAAAACAGTTTCGAGTTAGCGCTTTTCATAGCAAGCTCATACGTATTCATAGCGTAAAAACTTACAGAGTGATCGCATGTTCTTTTTCCTTGGAGGCTGCTGGAGTAGAAGAGCATGTTTGACTTGATCGAGCGACGGATGTGGAGATGCCTGTTCAGCGCCGTTTGCTATCGCAATGTTCTTAGATATGCGTCAGTTGATGAAGAAGTTACCTGAAAAACAAACTCTTACCTCGGTATCAAAATCTCGAGCTTTCCGCTTGCCAGTGCTCTTCTTTGCTGGTAAAATGACCTGACTGAGACTTGTTGACCCATTCTCGTTGCATTGATAGCCCTAGAAAACACAAGATTGAGTTCTTACTGATTGAGTCAGAAGCAAAATGGTTGATTACCTCTTCAATGTCAGAAAGATGTTGCAAGATGGCATCGTACTTCTCATGGGTGATGGCAAGATAAAGCTCAATGCCTTGTTTCGGCGCAAAGACCTTTGCCTTGTTCTTCCCCTTGGAAGTAAAAAAATGATCTGCCACCGCATCAACGTCTGGCTGTTTGGGAACAAGCTCAACCCAGTGTTTGTTTCGAATTTGACACTCATCTGGATGGAGAGGGAAGCCTTTCGACCACTTGACATAGTGAGGGAGGAGTGCGTGGTATAGCACCCACTTGAGATCACTAGCACCAATATGGACCGGAATGTCCGAAAGGGCTTCGAAGATATCCTGAGTAGATAAAGATAAACTTAGAATTTATCGTATGAAAATCAAACTTACAGAAACGGGGGCAGGAGATTTGCGGTTTGGAACCCGCATCATCATCCAAACCTTTACAACAATGAGTTCCGCATTTGCAACACCACTATATGCTTTGTTGGCAAAATGGGCACGCATTTCGTTGTAAAATTGATGGGCTTCTTGATATCCGGGATTTATGAGGGGTTTAGACTTCAATGCCAGGAACGGAAGAGTCGAGGACGAGTTGATTGGAAGTAAGTTGAGTTGAACCCCAGAGGGTTTAGGAGTCTTCTTGTTGTGTTGGATAATCGATTTCCGCGAGGATGCACCGTGATTCACGTTGAGGTTGACCTGCCCCATGTGCTGAGAGATCTCCCCCACTGCAACCATCGGATAAGCGCCCTCTATAGTTAAATATCGGATGTCAAAAAGTACGCCACAGATGAAAGGAAATTCGACGTACCAATATGCTGCACTGCCGCAACTTGTTGATGGACCGCTGAGTGACATTCAAATTTTCCGTTGAATGGATGTGCGCCAGGTTCGAAAAGCGCAGAAGGAGCTTTATGTTTTTAAGAAGTAAACGTTGAGATATAAGAAACAGACCAAGAATTGTGCGTACCTCGATTGCTACTGCCCTGAGTCCGACGGACGGTAGTTCCTTTGCTTCGATAATACTCAAAACACTCGGGACAGAAAAACCGGTCGGATTGTCCGTTCTTCTTGCTGTGCACTAATCTCAACTTCGTACCCAAAGGAAACACCCTCGAGCAGCGATTGCAGGTGACCTCGTTAGCTTGCTCCGACGTGAATTCAGCCTCATACTCTGAATCTTCATCCGGAGCGTCTGGAGAGGCTGACATAGAGAGAAGTAATCAAAGAAAAGCCAGATGTCGGGCTGAACGCGCAAGTAGTCGGTGGGACACTCAAGCCAGTATATGATTTATTGAAATTTTATATATTGGGACCCTGATCATGGTGATGATCCGTCTTGAGACCCCTTGAATGCCCTCGAAAGAAATAGAACACTCTGGAAAAGCCAAGAGGAAGAGCTATAGCACGCTGATACCCCACGATGAGCTTGAAAAATTTGCTCTACTAGTGTGATGTAAAACACAAGTAGTAACAAAAGACCGAAAGCAAATGTGCATACGTGGAGCCAAAGCTAGCAAAGTCCCTATGGCAGCATAGACCTGGGGTTGGGATTGGGAAGAACACGATGTTACATGGTGAGAGCATTGAATAGATCGCAAAGAGAGGGAGCATGCAGTTCGAAAAACATAGATGTACATTATGTAATTGTAGTGCAGATATCACGAATCAATTATTCTACTTAGCAATATGCGGCCATCAATCAGCGACCGAAATTTCAGAGCAGATCAGTCTTGCTTTCCATATCCTTTACTTGAAGAGGTATACTTGGACGAAAGTTGCTACTCGTGGGCACAAGAAGATGTGGACCGCATTAAATCTATGATGGTCTCCGCACCACGGCTGCATTCTATTAGCTGGCTGAGCCGGGAATCATACAGGATGCTCGCCTTTCCCTGGGAGCAGCTCACACACTTCTCGTTGGGCCCCGACATCTCTATGTCCGAGGGTCTTAGTTTTCTCGCGATCTGTCCTCACCTCAAATCCCTGGAACTGAGACTCCTTCTTCCCATGTATCCGGTCGGTAACGACGATGGCCTATTTGTCCACAACACTTTAGAACGTCTTTATCTAAGTACTGCAGGTAACCTGGCAGCTCTCTTTGACCAAGTCACTCTACCAGCTCTGAAGGATCTCTCGCTCTCCGAGGCGGACGGGGTCTTACCCACTGCCCTTGGAATGTTCTGCCGGCCGCTGGCCACAATCTCACTTCCTCGCATTCCTCCTACGTTCAGGTTGCACCATTTAGCAGTTCATCATTCAGGAGTGCGATATCTCCACGGAAGAGATAGCGGAGTGCCTCGCATATCCGCAGATATCGAAGTCATTGGGTTCGTTGTCTATCACGGAAGATCACGAAAAGCATCTGTGCGTGACGGATGAGGTGCTCAGGCAGTTGACGTATACACCACCAGTCATCTATTCAGAAAAGGTTCTGGGCAGTGGGGACAACCAGCTGGTCGAGAACACCCCGTCGGAGATTATTTGTCCGAATCTCACGACCATCAAGCTGTGGGGATGCATTTCAGCCCAGGATGGAAAGGTCGCGAATATGGTTGAGTCTAGGTGGTTAGCCAGGACCGAAGGCCGCCCCATCATGCAACTGAGGACGGCGGCAATTGGGTTTTTCGCTGACGTGTGCCATACGGAGGATTGGGCTCGGTTGGAGGCGTTGAACGTAGAGAGGTTCGGGATTACACATATTCGACTGTGATGGTGGGGTTCCAATTTCGTTTTCTGTACATGTCAAAATGGTGTGAAATACATTACATTTATCACCAGAAATATCTACGTCAATAAGTTAGCTAAAACCAACACAATCCCAGCCCATCAACGACGTCTTGATACCAAGCCAACGTCTACCAGAACAACACAACAATGAAGAGCCCCAAGCGCCGATAGCCTTTGCCCACCAGGGAAAATATATAGAGGTTCCGTTTCTCTATAATCACGGTGTCCAGAATCGTCCCAACAAAACGAAACTATTTTGTGAAAGACGTCATCAATGGTGTGTTGTGTACTTGGATGTTCTTTTTCCAGCACAACCAAGCGATGTTGCTATCTATCCCGTGAGCAACATCAACATATATGAAAGATGTTTATGATGGGTGTTTCTGCTGCCTGTGGCCTCGTTCCAGTGGGCGATGCGGACCGCGGTGGAAGTGGATGTGTGGAACGGAAAGGGAGAGGGCCTAAATGAGGGTTTGAGCATGACCATTCATCATACCAACCTGATAGAATGAGCAAAGGGACACATTTATTGGAAACCTGGACTTGCAGTGGTTCATTGTCTGGATATAGATATACATGACGTTGTAAGATGGGCTAACCCCCCAATGGTTGAGATTCGGTTCCGGTTAGGGCACTTAATTGATGAACGTAGAACGATGCCAGACTGTGAGGGAGAGAGGGACAGCTGGCTGGGATACAGCAACGGCTGAGATCTCGGGAGGTAATGCTTGCAGCTTCCATTTTCATTCCATAGCCAAATCACCATCGTTACGGTCGTCCTAAAAGTGCCTGTTCAAAGCATTTATGTCCTTGGGGGGAGAGGCTCGATTTGTAGGTATTCATGCTGGCAGGCTTGGAATAGGTGACCCGATAGCCAAGCTCAAACTGTGGACGAACACTCCTTCAATGGATGCCCGCGAAAAGCGAGGGTGCTGGCAGTCGACAAACGATTGTTCGCGGTGGCTTCGAAAAAATGTTGCCCCGGTATGATGATTAGGTGATGATGCTCGAGGAGCAGATGGTCAATTTGTAAGTAGAGGTTGTGGATGGTTGAGATTCGGTTCTGGCTTGGGGTGGCCGAACTGACGAACGATGCCAAAAACCAAACAAATGTATGGGAGAGGGAGGTCCAGCTGGCATGCGGCTATAGCGTAGGGAACTATAAGGGATAATGCTCGTAGCCTCTCGTCATTCCGATTGATCGAAGCATTGTCAGTCATACGAGGACGCTGCCATTTGTCCACAGTTGTTTCCAAAATGCCTGCCTGGTGATTACGCTCGAAGAGCGGGTCGAACTACAGAGGCTCGCGATCGTTGAAAAGATCTCTGGAGTGAATCCGTCAGGATACAATAGTTGTTCCAGAAAGCCTTGTATGATCTATGAACAAGCGACCATGCCTCGCAAAAAATGGGTCTTTGATCCAGGGTTTTAGCGTTGGATAAAGCCACTGATTGGCATTGACCACCAACGCCTGAACTTGGACAGCTTGTGGCGAGTACAAGAGTTCCTCCAGTTCATGGCCATGGGATCTTGTCAAGTGCGATCATGGTCCTTCGTGGATTAGCTGCTGCAGCACCGCCTTCAAAGGCCATCTTTGAAGTAAAAGTTTGGAGGCGGATGCGCTATGGTTAAGAGTTCAATTTGCGAGGATGGTTTTGGGTAGGGGTCCCTCAGGCCGGGTGAAAAGGACAGTCGCGGACGAATACACTCCTGTTCAACGTCTGCTCCTCGGTCCAGAGTCCGTCGCGCACGCGTCCTCGCCATCGTGACATATTAGCTTAGGTAGCTTGCGCACCTCAACCCCTCCCTGGACACGTCACGTGACATTATCAAATCTTATATTTCAAGATCAACGTTCGACTTCGCACATTTTCTACGTTTCTTTACATATTTGATATATATATTGAGGGGAGAAAATAAACAGAACACAGCCTATTTATTGGACATATGAAAAAAATGGCTTCACGGTTATCCTGATTTGGCTCAAACTTTCATAAATAATGGCAGCAAACTTACCAGAAACTAACCCACTTGGCATTGAAAAAATGACTGTCGGAACTCACCATAATCCAGGTTACGGACTTTTTGAGCCATAAAACCAAATGCAAAAAATAATCTTACTACGGGAGTCAAACCTCACACCTTGAGCAATTGCAGTTCCCACGATACAGAGCTCAACCACCTAGGCCATAAGGACATGCATACATATTTGAGCTGGTAGCAATATAATGCCTAAGATCGTGAATGTAACTGTAGTATATTCTCTCTCTAGATGATTATGTGTACATACACAAAAAGAAAATCTGCCTAAATTACATTTTTATTTATTGGAATACCGTAATATTATGCCAACCATGATCATATCGCGGTCTGAGCGAGATGGAGTACTAAAAAGATGGCGTTCAAGGTTCGAAGTGGTAAGTCACGTGACATGTCCGGGGAGGGGTTGAGGTGCGCAAGCTAGCTTAGGTCCTGCCTATCCAGAAATTACTAGAATTTTTCAGCTCAACGCGAATTACAAGCCTATAAGTTAACCAATCCAATAGAATATGTAAGCGGGGGTAGTTCATCACAGCACAGTAGGGGAACCAACATAAAACTTCCTCAACTTCAGTCATAATACTCCACCACCCCACCAGCACCCAAACTTCCCCTTCGAACCTTCTCCTCCTTAGAACGGAGTATATCCTCAATCGTAGGATTCTTCCCCTCCTCAGTGCCGAATTTGAACCAGCCCAGGTGGTCCGCTATCAGATGTCTACGTTCTTGCGAGTCAGACCCTAATCTCAAAAGAAAAGATGGAACCCACCGATTCTTACACCCCGGACATTCAACCAACACAATACCGCGCTCATAGCTGCGTTTTGTGAATTGGTGGGTTGAGCGTTCGCCGCATCCCTCAACTGTACATGTGAATGTCATGGAGAGTCGGGGTTGGGAAGAGGTGGTTGTTAATGGAGAAGAGGAGGAGGAGGGTGAGGAAGAAGAGGAAGAGGAAGAGGCATCCTCTGATATTGGCTCTGTATGTGGCAGAGATGTGGTGTACGGTCTGTGAGCGAGAGGTATGGGAAGTCTTCTGGCTGTTGAAAAAGCTGCGGGTCGCAGCTGAAAAGAGATGGATGGGTGGTGTGGAACTATGAGGCTGCGTAGTGGTGGTAGGATGCCCAAGTTTTTGAAGAGCCTTGACGGGAGCATGTTGTTGAGAAGCAAGAGACGCAAAAACATGTACAATTGTTGCTTGATCACTTTCCCCAGGGCTTGTCAAACTGGCAATTGTCCTGGCATTCGTAAATACTAAATAGCACGTAAAAGTACACGTAGTAAAGACATGATAAGATAATCAGATCGTCGCAAGTCAATGGTCTATGTCGTGTGCTACAAGGAAAGGATAATAGGTCAAACGAAAAGTGAGGAAGTTGTGCTTGAGGGGGGCACGTTGTCCGTATAAGAAAAGATGTCGTCCATAGCTACGTAGAAGCTAAGTCGTCCACAGCCCAATGGTAAGGGATGTGCGCTCCAACGGAGCTCAACCAGCCTGATAAACAGCAGGCCCAGCAACAATATGCGGATTGATGAACGAAATGTTGAACAGCGTCACGAAGATATCTTCATCCGTTATCGCAATGAACCTTTGATACGTTTATCAGTCACTAAATTCGATCCACAAAAAAGGGGGTACGTGCATGGTAGCATTAACAATAGGCGACGACCCATTCCCAAAAACGGTGCCATTCGGCTGGAACGTCGTTCCCGTCTGATTGACGATGTTTTCGAGGACGGTGTAGGTGGTATTGAGTTGCGATATCCAGGCTATGAACTATATCACATTCCATTCTTCAGTCCCGCACGCATGATTTAAACATAGGTGGAAGAAGAGATGAAACTAAAACCAAACCTCACCCGGGGCAGACCAGCAGTCGTATTCGTAACAAAACTATTGGGGCCTATCGCTTGACCGGGTAAATCTCAAGTAAGATTGACCTGTCGTCCGGGCAAGGAGAGGGGAATGGAGCGGTTATGCGTGATGGCGGGGTTGGTGTTGTTGTCTGGGATGGAGGTGTTGACGAAGGGTGTTGGATCGGGGTTGTTCTGTGTCGAAGATGGGTAAGTTGGGAGGAGGAGGAGGAGGAGAGGGAGGGGGAAGGGAAGAAAGATGAAGGACAAGAAAAAAAGGAAACGCACAACAACATTCAACGCCGGAAAATTCTGAAACTCAATCACCGGATTCCCAGCTGGACAACTTATAATCAACGGCGCCAACAGCGTCCACATCATACTCTGCGTAATCGCCGTTTGAAAGTCGACAGGAACGGGGAAGAGGCCTTCGTATTGGCGGAAAATCATTTGTTCGCGGGAAGAGGCTGTTAGTGTTTGGGCGAGGAGTTGGGCGGTTGCGCGTGAGTCAAGGTGTTCGATGAAGCCTAGGATGCCGGATTCGCCTATTGCTGCTATCTGGAGGGGATAAGTGGGGGAAGTGGGGTAAAAGGGAGGGAGGGACGAACCTGTTGGCTGAAATTGATGAATTCGCGGACGTCTTCGAATGGGAATTTGTAAGTGCACTAATTGGCTGCCTGTTCTGCATCGTAACGTTAGACCTAAACGCTGCTGAGAGTCATACGATGAGGGTTACCCCACCTCCAATCATGTTCGAGAGCAGAGTAGCATGCGACACTTTTGGTTAGCTAAGAACTGGATGAGAGATCTGCCCGCTTCGAAGATCTGTACGTCCTCGAATTCCTGAACTGTGAACGTTGCCAGGCCAAAGCGGAAGAGGTCGAGTTCGGGGAGCTGTTGGTTTAATGCAAGATTCTGGGTCATTCATCGTCAGTTGGAATGGAAAAGAGATGAGATGAACAAGTCAGACATACGAGGGACTTGAAATCAAAGTCGCTTAGGGGATGATAGAACGGAGGTGCAGAGTTGGTTCCGAGACCACCGGAAGGTTGGAAGTTGAGTGCTGTGGTGGTGGTGGTCGGAATCGTCGTCGTGGGCCAGGCAACAGCCAAGCCCCTCCTCAATCGTAGCTTCAGGATTATGATACTTCAGCATACACAAGCCCAACAAGATACATAAAGACTCAACACACCTATCCAACAAACTCAGTGCAAAATACGATCCATACCCATGCGCGGCAAACGGCACCTCCGTCATCGTACCAAGGTAATCAATCCAGTAAAGGTGGGCATCATGCGAGACCGTATCGTATCCCCCAAGAAGGAGGTTTACGTGAGCGCAGAGACTCCGCGAGGGCACGACGGATCCAGGAAGCGGCTGCGGAGGGTCGCAAAGGTTAGAAGTTGCGGATCTGGTATAAACGGATGTTGCGCTCGACGTATTCGGCGAATTGGACGGTGTCGCCTGTTGCTGGGTTTTTTGGTGAGTATTATGATAGGATTATGTGAGTTAAGGAAGTACCTG